AAAGTTGCCTGGTCTTCCCTATTTCTTATGGGAAACAGTATGAGCGCAATCTCATAGTATTGTATATGTATGAGATTTACAAGTTTAAATCTGAAGCATTGCTTTTTCTACTAGTAAAAGCAATGTATTTCTGAAAATATCTAGAAATGTATGCTTCAGGAACTATAAACATTAAAAACTTAGCGATCCCTAAGCGTTAGAATCTTCCAGAATCAGGCGATAACTAAACAGATTTCAAGGAGTATATTTTGAAGTCTGTTATCAGCATCCCTTTTGTACCCAGGTCCTCTCTGAACCCTTTTAAGTCATCTGTACCTGATAAAACCTAAATTAAAAAAAACAACAAAAAACTTTGTATGTAATTTGAAATAGTTCATAATGTTCTTTTTCAAGTTACAATTTACTTCACATTAGAAAGGCTCCCTAGGTCTCTTACTGGTAGACATTCCATCTAAATTCAATTTCTTATTACAGAAAACCATCTCATGGAAGCATTCTAATTGAAGCATTAACTGCTGGAAATTATACACATGGTCACTGCATTAGGAAAATCTGCCACTGAGGTAACCCTTGTCTGAACACAAGAAAACATCAATAAAATTGTCAGAAACAGATCTGAAGCTCTGCACACAACTTTCTCCCACACACACTAGGGAGGAACATTTAGATCTGATTGCTTTCCAAAGCAGTACTGAAGCAAGTCTTGGCCATAACTTGCTAGATTGCAGTTTTATTTTTCAGTGCAGATACTCCACACTGTCACAGCAACAGGCTTTAAATCCATGTTTAAAATCTAATTCTTAATGCCTAAAAAAATCTGATTATCAGCTCTGATAAATCTTACTCTGCATTTAAGAAGTTTAAGCAGCCAAAATGGGACTTGACACAGTATGACCACGAATGTATTTATGCAAAGTACAAAATTTAAGTAGTTTGAATATTTGGAAAATATTTATCACAGAACATTACAGAATCACAGAACGTTAGGGATTGGAAGGGACCTCAAAAGATCATCTAGTCCAATCCCCAAATGTTTGTAAAATGAAAATAGCAGCAAATAAAAAACTAATCTGAAAGCTTCAGACATGTTGCTGTGTTACTACTATGGAAAAAGCCTCAAAGTTTGAAGCTGGTAAGAAGAGGACAACAGGAAGAGGCGGAGAACATCAACTGTTACTGGACAGTAACTGAGACCGAACAGTCATGGTTTAACCTGTGTTTGACTGAACATTGGCTAGGGAATTGACACTACTGAAGAGTAGTGAATGGCTAGCATCGGTACTGATTTCGTGCTTATTGAAATTATGGAAAAGCTTAGAATCTCCAACTAGTCATTAAATACAATTTCTATTTCTCATCTTAATGGTATAAATTGTCATCTTAAAAATATATGAAAATATTTTTTATCTATTACACAGTTTAGTTCAATGATTAGAGAAAAATTCTCATGTAATTAAGTGAATGATGTCCCTGAAACCATCTGCAAGTGCTTCATTAAGTCTAGCAGCCACCTAGTACAATTTCCTTTATCCAACTACTATAAAAATCATTCTGGCCATGCTTCACACATCATACTAAGCCTTCTCCTGACCTGAGCAGTTGTGGGCACCAAAATGAGAGCTGTGTTAGCCCTTAAGAGAAAGTTTATCCCACCAAGCAGAGCAGTGAGGTTGGAACAGTGATTACAAAGCTGGCTATAAAGGCCTGAATTTTTCCTTTAGTCTAAGCTGATGCTATAGCTCTTATAATAAAGAACATTGACAGAAAATGATAAGGAACTGTCCTTTCAATGGCTTCAAAAACTTCATCATGATACTAACAATATGGTGAGGTCCCAGGAGGAATGGGTCCTGGGGCTGAGATACAGAGGTGAGACTGGCAACACTGGAGTGGAAAAGTGCGCAGATATTGCTGCTAGGCCAGTATGCGATGCAACTTCAGCAGAGAAGGTCACACATCAAGCATCCAGACTCAGCATTAAACAGCCCATAAAGCTGACAGACAGCAGATGTAGTCCACCTCTGATGAGCTTTCTGTAACTGGTAAATTCTGGACAGTTTCCCCTGGGGCTCCTAGCACAGGGCAGCAATGACCATCCAGTTCTGCTCATCTTGAGCCCACATTAAAATACATCTAGATTTTAATGCATGGGTTTTTGCCTGTGAATTTACCTGTAAGATTCTGCCTTGGGAATTAACCCTTCCATATTTTCAGAATTAAGTAGATACTCTACTTCCCATTTTTATATTATCTTTTAAAACTTCCTAAACAATCAAGAAGAGACAGGAAAGAGATTAGGATAGGTAGGAGGCAGAACTGAGCAAGTTCCCTGTAGGTATTAGAGGTTCATTAGTCTCAAGGACTACAGAAAACAGTTAGCAAAAGGAGTGAAGGAAAATAGATGCTGTTTGTAAATCAGCATGTCCTCATTTTCAGTCACAAGGTACACTTAATAGTACACTACAGAGGAAGAGGGCAAAGACTTGTACTGAAAGCTCTGCATCTTTGAGATACTTAGAGTTACAGAAGACAAGCGGTTGAAGGCTCCCATCCATAATATAGTTTGCTTCTTTTTGAACTCAGTTTCACATTAAAATAATGAGTAGAAAGCAGAGGCTGGTAAGCCTCAGGGAATGAAAAGCTTCATGAATCCCCACAGACTTTCCAGTCCTCAACGGCAAAGATCTAAAGGCTCCTCTAATCCCTCTGGATATCCCAGTCTCTGAGGCTCTGAAACTGTGTGGTGCTTAAAATATCTTCTTTATATTACCCACAGTCTCACTGATGATTTCATTCTACAGACACTTCTCAGCACAGTGACACCTTACCCTGCTCAGCTATTCAGGTTGGCAAACCAGCACTCAATACTAGAAATGGCTAAACAGCAAGCAGTAAAGAAAGGACAAAAACACCAGTAATGACTCCTACCCATGTTACCCTAGTCCATAAAAGATACAGTTAGGGCCCTTTGATAATGTAAAAATAGGTAGATAAAAAAATACCATGCATTAAATTTAACATTTAACATATATTTAACATAAACCACAAACGGTTCGTGTCCTAACAAAACTCTTTAATGAAACTCCATTTTAACTGAGACAGAAAATATGGAATTTTAAAATGGACCAGCTAGCATTGCTTTACCAATTACAGCTTTTAAATATACCTATCCCATTAAGATATCTTGTTTGGAAGACAAGTGATCCAGTTCTAGAGAACATTCTTTCTGGAAGTTATTTAGCACAGCACTATTTTTTATTTTATTTTATTTTATTTATTTTTTTTACAGTGCTATTTCTAAATTATTCTCTCTCAGAAGTAAAGCATACATCAGGATACTGATTCAAACAGCTGTTATTTCCATGACACTTCTATATACACATGCTATAAGAAGCATATATATACATAAATGTGAAGTTACTCAGAGGTTTATTTTCTACCACATCACGATGCATTCTACAGTTTATGCCCTAAAAAAGGCTGTTGAATGAGGACCAATTCCTTTGAAAGCATTGTGAAATAATCACTTATTTGCAATACCCACCTTGACTAGTAAAGTCAGGTATAGCCAGGGGATAGGTAGATATATTATGCAAGTACTAGTTCTCATAACATTAATTTCTTCTGAATTGTTCAGGTACATGTATAAATGCTTGTATTAAGAACATTAAACTTCTCTCTGCACAAAGCTGTAAGTGTTACATAGAAAATTAGGTTTCTGATCGAAACGACAATGGTTGAGATTTGATTTAGATTGTTGGAGGGTGAAAGAAGAGAGGTGGAAGAAAGGTTGAGAGAAAAGCAAAACATGTCTAAATAGCAAAACCATTTGCTGCAACTCAGGAACTCCTTTTTCTCCAGTCTGAATAATAGAGACAGAGTCCAGACTTGGCTGTAAAGAAAGGACGCTAAAAGCTTTAAGAGATAAAACATTAAAAGCATCGTCCTTGAAAATGTTATTTTTCTGCGAGACTAAATCCATTTTTATGACCATGGTTTTGATTTAATAAACTTTTTTTATCTCACTGCTCTGTACATTCAGTTTAAATTAAATTTACCCTAACAATTCATAACTGTCTATAATTTTCAGTCATGTACAATATAAAGTATTTGATATATTTTGTAATTTAATAAAATCAAGATAAATATGTATGGCTTATTGAGATACATTGTACATTGTTAAAATTTTAGGATCAATTCTGAAGCTTTCATAAAAGTAATTGTCTAATCGTTGAACAGTTATATGACCACAAAGATAGGTTTAGGAGGAAGAGTAGAATATTATTCTCAGTTTTAGTTGAGAATTAAAAAAAAATCCGCTGACAACATGATTTTTCAGACTTTTGTAAAGCAGAAACCTAATATAGTAAGTTTAAGAGGTAGACAACTACTTTGCCAAATGCACTGTAAATGTCTTTATGGCAGCCCATATAACCTGAACTTCTATTAATAAGAAATAGCTGAAGTCTGAAAGGTGACAAGAGATGACCATGTTTGCCACAGATTGTGGATGAAAGATTTAAGCACTAATTAAAGAGATTTAACTGAGTTCTAAAGAGATAGTTAGCATCATCCCTCCAAAACGAAACACTTTATGCATGGTACGTCAACAGCTCCACTTACATATTCTCCGTATGTCTCCTGTGCTGGAGGTGGTGGAAGGGGCCGGTAGCCTGCAGGTGGGGGTACTCCTCTTGCTCTGGGTGCCAGAAGCCCACGGCTACGACTGACTGGTCCTCTACTGGGAGGCACTCCTCTGGGTGCTGGTGCCCCTCTCGGCACTCCTGCTGGTGGTGGAGGCACTCCCCCACGGCCCCTGTGAAGATACAGATCACTTACCATTAAATACTAAATGCTCGGGCTCCCTTTCAACAGCTCCCTGCCCCCCCACGATGACAATTTTGCTTTGCTACAGCCACAAAAATTCTAAAAGCAGTTTGCAGTTTGTCATTTTTCTGAATGCTTTAATCCAATTACACACATTATGTAAAAAAATGCTGAAAGATACAAACTAGACATGTGCTTCAGTGATGAACTTCTCACTAGCTTGAGCCATTCTCGCATACACAGACACCCAAACCAATTTGCTGGAGTCAGTCAACTTCACTAGAATTTGACTTATAGTACAAGAAATCACAGTCATAGAACAGGTTAATTTGAAGCTGTCAGGCTATATCGTACTCAAACCCTGCACAGAGAAATCAGTTGCAACTCCTTTCTTATCCTGTGTAAGCTTCTAAGTGCAATGCAAAGATCCCACTGCGTCTCAGACTGAGTGGGTCAGAAAAATTACATTTTCTCCTGGTTCTAAAGATTTCCGGCTATTGCAGGAAACGTTCAGACATGTACTAAATGTGCAGTGTGATTATAGGATATAACCTGATGTTCTATATGTATTTAAGAACAAGAAATAATATTTCTATAAATAACAGTATTTGTTTTTAAAGTTCTGAAAAAATTATAAGTATTAACTACCATTCCATTACTTTGGACACTTAACATATGGATTAAAAAAATCTGAGACCTAGACTGGAACAATTTTAGAGGTGGCATTCTCCCCCTGCCTCCCTATAGCAGAGGGAGGGACTTAGAGGTACATTCTTAGAGAAATTTGCGTTATTTATCAACTAATAAACAGGATCTCTAAATTATTGCTAATAAATACCTCCTTTTCAAAGGAGATCATTTCACCCCATGGACTATAATTGAGTTTAAATGACTGCTCTGTAGGCATATAGACTTGTCTTGAAGAAGTCATATTCTTATTGTATCCTGTAACAGATATATAGATGAAAAACAAGCACAAGCTCTACGCTTTCTTTCTACATATAAAACAATCTAATTTATCTTAATAGTAATTAAGAGAAAATACTCTGTCCTGATTTCAGAAGAAATTTCCAACTTAAGGCCAAATATGGTTCTTACTTTGTTTAAAATTTCCTATCCAATTTCAAGTAAGTCATACAATTTGTTATCAGTTAGCTTATCAGAAAAAATACAATTGTTTTAGCACAAATAATTAGCATTTTAAAATTTTAACACTGCATCACCAAATGAAGAATGCAAAAAGATAAATACTTGATGCAATCAGGATAGATTTTATTATTTCTAATTACTGATGAAAACACAGCCACAAAAGTATTTTAAACAAGCCTAGAGAGTAAGTGATTTAAAACTGTGCTTATTACTTGGTTTTGGCTAATCTGTAGAATGGCTCCTCAGGACAGGGTACCAGCTGCTTATTTGACTTCATTGTAGTGGGGGCAGGGGTGAGCAGTGAAGTTCCCAGACACAGCCTGCTGAAGTAATATAAAGAAATAGCAAATGTGACACTTTCCAAGTGAAGCCAAAGAAAGGGAAATGAACCTATTGGCATAGACAACAGTCAATACCAAGTGAAAAAAAAAAGGTAGTAAAAAGGGTCAAGAATCACTAGGCATGATCTATATGGCATCCTTCAGACAGGGTGCAAGTGAAAGCAGCAGGAAATGGGACATGCTGAAAAACATGGAAAAAACATTTGAAGGAGGGGGAAAAAAGTACCATTTTTAAAGCCAACAGATTTATTCTAGAAGAGTAATTAGAACACCAGAGCCACATATTGAGAAGGTTTTTTCTGCATTTCAAAAACAGTTAATAGGATTGCAGTGGTGATGGGTGGAAAATCATATTTCTCCCCTATTAGGAGACTATTTACATGCTTTTAAGAGTTACTTTAGGATGAATAAACAAATTTGAGATTTACAGTTCTGTATTACACCACTGATGACTACTGACCAGGCTGGAGGAGACTGGAAAGATGCAGAGATAGGAAACCCAGTAACAGGAGAGTTCAATTACCACCATGCAGATTTGACTCTCATCAGGGTATGATGCTAAGAGCAAATTTTTAAGAACTAAATTATTTCCTTAAGTAGTTATCAGGGAACTAAAGAAGTCTGACATGAGCAATGAACAGAAACTCAAAATATTGAGGAACTACTTGAACAGGAACCTTTGCATACCTTTGAAAAAACCAGCAGATCAGTTCCTGCTTCATTTGAAAAAGGGCAGCTATATAAAATTGTTTAGAAAGATGTAAGCGTAAAATATAGATACACAATATGGGAAGACATTTCGAGAAATCCCATGGGAAGTCAGAGCAAACAATTTTCAAAATAGGAAAAGGTTGAAAAAGGGCAAAAGGAGCTCAGTAAGGCCAGAACAGCAGGGGGTAAGGGGAGGTGTTAAAAGAGGTATCACCTGAAAAGCTGAACCCATCTCTAACTTCAAAGCACAAATGCTAATAAAAGAAATGTAAAATATTCAGAAAAAACAGGTCAGAGCTAACTTAAAGGAATTGTAAACAGCCTAAAAGAAATCAAAAGTCCTTCAAGCATTCTGGAATGGGGAAACCTGCCAGACTGAGGCCAAAGTACAATTGAAAAAACAGTAAGGTATGTATATACATACATACACAAATTTTTTTGCTACACAATCAAGAAAGACTGAAAATTATTCTCATGGTAGAGCCTTTCCTTATGGTGAATGCACTGGATGGTGCTGGCAACTGTCTTAAGAGACAATTTACATAAAAAAAGAGCAAATAGAAGTAATTGCACTATCTTTCCATAAACTACTGCAGGAGTTCAGATCCCTAGCTCTTTAATCTGCAACTGAATTCCAACCTGAATGTTTAGGAAAGGAAAATAGCAAAAAAAGTTAAAGTAGCAAAGTATAAGAGAGTGACATTTGAGAGCTAATATACACACACAAACACAAATTTATAAATCCTAACATTATACAAAGTAATAGGTTCTGCGCTGTTACTACACAGAGAACACCTATAATTAAGATTGGCCCAGTGGTCAGAACACTAAACAACAAATACAATTTTTGAAAATATAAGAAGAGAACACATAAAACTTTGTTAGTCAAATGTGTGTATTCAGAGTCCTGTTTCTTATTTTGGAGAGAACACAAAAGACTTGGAAATGCATCAGAAACTACATCAAAGATAACCAACAGCATAAATCAGCTTGCATATAGGAAACAATTAAGTTAAGACACTTCATACTACAACTGAGGTTTTATGACAGAAGTCAGTAGAAACAAAGGAACAGAGAAGGCTGAGGGGTGACCTCATCATGGTCTACAACTTCCTCAAGGAGGGCTGCAGAGGGGGCAGTGCTGACCTCCCTCCAGTGACAGAACACGAGGAGATGGAATGAAGCTGCATCAGGGGAAGTTCAGATTGGACATTAGGAGAAGGTTCTTCACTGAGAGGGTGGCCAGTCACTAGAACAGGCTCCCCAGACAAGTGGCAACAGCATCAAGCCTGTCAAGAGTTCAAGCAGCATCTGGACAACATAGTCACGTGGTTTAGTTTTAGGTAGTCCTAAGAGGAGCAAGGAGTTGGACTCAAGCCTTATGAGTTCTTTCCAACTTGAGGTATTTTAAGGTAACTAAAAAGAACCTATACTTCTCTAGGCTGAACAGTCCCAGCTCTCAGGCTTTCCTCACAGGAAAAATGCTCCATACCCTTCATAACCCTTGTGGCCCTTTGCTGAACTCTGCAGTATATGTTTGTCTCATTTGCACTGGGGAACCCAAAAATGGATACAGCACTCCAGATGTGGTCTCATCAGTGATGACTAGAGGAAAAGGGTCACCACCTTCTGCCTGTGCACAACCCTAATGCAGCCCAGGATACCATTAGCCTTCTTCACAGCAAGTGCACATTCCTGGCTCACGTTCAACTTGGTGTCCCACCCTGGTCCTTTTCTGTCAAGGTATTTTCCACCTGAGTGGCCTCCAGCATATATTGGTGCATGCGGTTGTTCTTCCCCAGGTGCAGGACTTTCCAATTCCCCTTGTTGAGCTTCATGCCATTCCTGCCAGACCATTTCTCCAGCCTGTCAAGGTCCCTCTGGACAGCAGCACAACTCTGGCATATCATCTACTACCCAGCCCAATGTCACCTGCAAACAAGATACACTCTGCCCCATCATCCAGATCATTAATGAAGTTAAACAAGCTGGACCCAGTGTTGACCCCTGAGGCTCACTGCTTGTTACTGGCCTCCAGCTGGACTTCACACTACTGGGCCTAGCCATTCAGCCAAATTTCAGTCCACCTGTCTCCTCATCCAGCCCACACATCAACAGGTTCTCTATAAGGATCCCATGAGACAGCCTTCCTGAAGTCACAACAGACAATATCCACTGCTCTCCCTTTACATACCAGGCCAGTCACTTCATCACAGAATGATATCATGCTGATCAAGCATGACTTCCCCTTTGTGAATCCATGATTACTACAGATGAGCTTGCCATTTATGTGCTTTGAAATAGTTTCCAGGATTAGTTGCTTCATCAGTATCCCAGTGCTTGAGATGAGACTGACCAGCCTATAGTTCACCAGGTCCTCCTTGCTTTTTTTGAAGGTAGGAGTGACATTTACTTTCCTCCAGTCCTCAAGCACCTCTCCTAATCTCCACAATTGTTCAAAGATTGAGAGTGGGTCCACAACATCTGCCAGCTCCCTCAGCACTCATGGGTCCATCCCATCAGTGCCTATGGACTTGCATGTCCAGTTTGCTTAGCTATTCTCTAACCTGATCCTCTGCCACCAAGGGTACGCTTTCCCCCCATCTTTGGGTCCTTGGCTTTCAGAAGGCCTCTCTTACTCAAAGACTGAGCGCAAGAAGTCATTAGGCATGTCAGTCTTTTCCATGCCCTGTGTCACCAGGGCCTCTGCTCCACTCAGCAGGAGGCTCACGTTTTCCCTATTATTCTTATTGATAATTCAGTATTCACAGAAGTACTTCTCGAGTTAGACATCCCTCACCACACTGCTGATGACTTCTGTAAGTCATCTCTACTCATGTCTACATAGCAGACACCTATCCATTAGGAGCAGAACTGATCGCCCTAAGGCAGTTTAGTCCCCACGCATCTCTTACAATTGTCATCTTTCATTATGCTTTAGCTAATGCTTCCACAGCTCTCACTTCTCAACCATCTTGCCTACTCTTGTTTTCCATTTACATTTTACTCCAGGTGTTTAAGGTTGAAGTGGTTTTATTTTACTGTAATAAAAGCTTCTCTCAGACATACTTGAATGTAACCCACTACTACCATTAAGTTTAGTGAACACGCCATTAGACTTCTCCCTTTACACCCTGGACATTCAGCAGTGCACAAATATACACAGCATGTTAGAAAGCACTCCCAGTGGGCATCTAATGATTTTTCAGCTAGATCTCCTACAGAGTTTGTCCACATATTCCATGCTGTATTTACAATTTCTGTAATTTCTTACATTTTTCCTTTTGAAATCCGATTCTTTGACTTTCCTGAGCTTTCCCTCTCATTCAACTACTTTTGAAGGGTACCCATCTGCTTCTTGGGTCTCTGAAGAAACTGCAGAGAAGGTCTTTTCTCTACCTTTTTTCTTCTACAACTCTAACACCTATAACTAGGGAAAAAACAGTGCAACTGGTAACATTTAGATTTATTCTTCTACTTATCTCACCCAAACCAAGACACCTCAGTTCTGTTTTATCACACCCACAGAGATATCTTACTATCAAATCAAATTCATCATTGCTCCTAGTCCCTTTGTCTTTCATTGCTTGCTTCTTTGACCAATGTCATCATTCTGAGGTTATATTTCAGCTGCCATCACCAATCTCCTTTTCTTTGCTTACAGCCTACAGAGTATTCTTTTTTCTTTATAAAAACACCTAAAATAGCCTCTCTTTTCAAATTACATGGAAAATTATTTGGCATGGAGATTTCAGGTGACAAAAACTTTAGGACAATGAAGGGCTCCTCTCTCAAAATCAGATATTCTTTCATGGTAATTGAGGGTTTAGAAAGCAGATTTTGAAAAATTCTGGAGCATAAGTGATTGGATATCAAATTCCTATTTAATTAAAATTATGGCACATTTGTTCAAATAATTATGAAACAGTCTAGATACACAACTTTGGATCAAGTACACAAATCATGCTTTTACTACAAGCAGCACAAATCCTGGAAATAACTTTTCTTTCTGATGAAGAAAACTGTGCTATATTAACCCTCAATCTGAATGCTTCTGATTTTGAAATCTGATCAGACTCCCAATGCACTTCCTTGCTCATTAGCCCTATTACAGAATCACAGAATGGTAGGGAAATTAGGTATGAAAATTTAGTGATAAGAGCAGACCAAACAGTAACTTCTGTGTCACAAACAGCAGCCTAAGGACATATGATAAATGTGAATGATAAGCATGATAAGAACATGGCATTTCATCATAAACATGAAATAGAACTGTGAGTGTCTCTGGACTGAGCATCTGTAGTAGAGCTGTTACAGGCATTTATAGAAGATTTAAAAACATATTTAAGAACTGAAGTAAAATTAGCAAAAACCTCATCTCCAAAAGCAATGAGATCCTTAATTTCCAAGCACTTTTGTACGTCTGATTACAGTGCTAAAGAAGTTAACCTTGGTATATAATTACCACTACTCTGAACAACATTGAAATGAAGGCAAGAAGTGAGAGATATATTACGTAGTATTACGTAAGAAAATAAGAACAAAGATTCGTTGATTTAGAGACTATGTTGTTACAGGACACAACCAACTGTGTGTGTAAATTCTCTAAGTTAAGATTCATTCTGCATTGCCTCTGTAATCATTATTACAGGATACATGTAACTAAACAGATCTGTATAAATGGAATAATTACTCGGTGCTTTTCTTCTAACTTGCTTAATCTGAGTAAAAATACTTCAGAATACTACTTTGAAATTATTTTAAAAGCTGAAATGTAAGTTTCGAGCTCACATGAATAAGCACCATAGCCACAACTGAAGGGAAATAGTTCACTGTAGAAAACTGTTACGCTTAACTGCCGCAGCCACAATCCCTCTGTACTGTAACAGACAGCTATGCATTTTATTTAGTTTTTGTTTTCACACTTTGGGACTCAAAGGAGCTGAAGCTGTCATCTCAGCACTGCAAGGAAGGTAGGGGATGCTAGAGTAAAAATGTCTCCCGTGTCAAAGAAAAATACAGCAAAAACAGCAGTAGACTTGCCTATTCTTGGATCAAAGGAAAGCCACTTTTGAATGAAATAAGCACAATATAAAAGAGACTAAGTTCAAATCCTACCTCCAAAACACTTCCATAGCATTATTTTATCAGGACTACAAAAACCTTCGTGGTACAGTAAAAGGAATATGTATATTTCCTAAGTTAAAAGGAGCTCTACAGGGCCAATACCCAGACCCTACAGGTACCTAAGGAGCAACTGGAAGTCAGAAGTCAAGCAGCACAGAAGTCTTCTTGTGATGTGCATGGTTTCTTAACTGGGTACCATTTGAGCTTCACAAGACAAATTTCAGCACCACTGTTAATTCAGCCTAAGCTAATTAGACTACCTGCAACAATTCAAGATTTGTTTCCCTTATCTTCTGCTCTTATTTTGAGGGTCTTTCACATATTTCACTATTGTACTCTGAGGGATTTTTTGGGTGTTTGAAGGGGGGAGCTTAAAATATACACATTGAAATTAAATTTCACAGCAGCTGAGATATTTACCTGGACAAAGCAGGAACTGGTACTCCTCTTGCTCGAATAGATGGTTTTCCACGAACTACTGGAACTTCTGCATTTTCTGAACCACCATTTAAATATGTTAATTCCTGAAGCTGTGCCTGTCTGATTTCATCATTGTAGTCCTAAAACAGGGGGCAGAAAGTAAGAAAAAACCCCATTCAACTACAACACCAAGTTATGTCAGCAAACACTGCTCCCAAAAGTTTCCTCTTAAAGAGCTGAACATCCCATTGAAAAAAGTTTAATATACAGAATAAGAGGTTGAAGTAGATGAACTTTAAGGTCCCTTCCAAATCAAACCATTCTATGATTTTATGATTATAGGCATATTATTCAGTCAAAAATTTCTAAAATAATTCTATATATTAACTGCAATTTCTGGTCTGCCATGTTTCCTTCCCATTGCATATTATCTTCATGTAGCTTTACCAATTAAAATGCCAATGTTAAAATGCTGCAGATGGGGGAAAATAGAAAAATCAAGGTCCCATTTCTGAGCTGAGATCTGGTTTGTAGTTCCAGCTAGAGAGCAATAGTGTGTTAAAAGCATGGAAAATTGAATTGCATAGTGTTGCAAAACACTGCAGAATAAATACACTGTAGAGAACAGCCCCTGATAACCAAGGAATAGATTAGACATCTACACTTTTAAAGTCAGGAGTTAAAGAATAAACAATTAAATTCATTCAATAAAAACATGCACTATTATCTGATAGTAAGAGCTCAAAAAGTTTCAATTCTAAAACACGCAAAGGTAAACAATTTGAAGACACACAGCTTGTTTCTTATTCTGCACAAATCCTCTCTCAAGGTCTACTCAAAAGAAAGCTGAAGTTATTTACTTGGAATTAATATGGTACTTCTCAAATACACAAGAGTCTTCTCAGGGACCTTGAGCCAGCCTCCAAAACTAGCACATCACACAGGAACAAAACAGATACAGCAATAAAGTCTTGAGCTGTACATATTTTTCTGCCATTTTTCCTCCACTTAAAATGACACAAAGAATGCATCTATAAAGGTGAATCAGAAAAAGAAATACTTTATTCTGTGTGTATACATACACACTAAGTGTCATAATATTAATAGGCTCTCTGAGAATGAAGTGATACTTCTGATAAAACAGGTCTTACCTTCTGCGAATCCCCCCCATTTCAAAGAAGGCAGGTTCATACAAAAACTGCCTATTTCTGTTTCAATTACAAAGCAAAGGATCTGCATCCCTTATTGGAAACCTAGTTATTACATTTATGTGCTAAGCAGGTACCAAAAGACTGTAAGGCAGCCTCGCATCAGGCAGCTCACAAACATAACTCCACATTGAAAGTGGACTAAAACATCCATGAACTCAAATATCTCAATTATCCTTAAAACATTCTGCTTCCACAAACAGAAATACAAGTTTTCCCTTTACATGCCATTGCTGAAGATAGTTACTAGTATTAAAAAAAGGCATTTTGTCCAAACTGTCTTAAATAGGATCTGAAACTTAACTCTCATCTGTCTATTTGAGATCATCCTCTATTTAGAAGCAGAAACCAACCAGCAAACAAGATGAAGAAAAAAAAGTCTTGAAGATTGAACCAACTGTTGCAAAATGCATAATTCAGGCTTTTCAGAAACAGATTACAATTTAAAACAACTTGGAGACAACTCACAGCCAAACCACCATAGGAAGTGGAATAGAAACAGGGAACTGAACACTGTTCTGGCCAAAAACTGTACAGAAGCCTGCTTTATATTTTTAATTTGTTTCTGGACTTGAAGTGGCTAAAAATGCAATATTCTATGCAATGTGTGGAACAAGAACTTCAATCTTGAAATAAAAAGCTAATAAATTGTTCAAACTATACCACAAACAAGGTATAGTTATAGTCCTTAGACAAGGACTGCACAAAGGTACAGCACAGAAAATGTGGTCCTTATCACACATGCCAGAGACAGCAGGAGGATACAGAGTGAAGAGGCAGCACAAGGAAATAACACAAACAGCCATGATAAGCAACAGTGTTAATCCATTAGACTCTGAAATGGATTCTTCAATTAAAAGTAACAGATGGTTAATACATGAATACCCACTGCTGGAAAACAGCACATTTCAAGTCAAATTGAGGAGACAACAATCTCTTCCTCACCTAGAACACAGGATGGGCATGGAAACTCTTTAGTCTGCACTCCTCCCTGTATAGTTTAGGCAGAGGTGACATTTGAATTTCAGTCAAATGCTGCAGATTAATTTCAAGTGAATGGACATACTCCGATTTTACAAGTAATGCCCATCCTGACTTTGATTACAGTCTTTTCTAAAGATGGAGCATGGTTCTGCTGCAGGAACGACCACATCATCAAGGTTGGCAGAAAATCTCTTGCATGTTTCTCCCACAGAATTACTTACGTGACCCAACTAAGCATCATTCTTTTAGCTTTTATCTGCAATTTTCACCCAGCCGTGATTAACACATTGGCAGAAGCTCTCCTCGGGAACATCTTTAACTTAGGACCTTATTCCAATTTATCAAACCATTAGTAAAATAATTTTTTATTTAACATTAGGAACTTTCCCTGAAAAATCCCATACAGTTTCACAAAACACCCAAGAAAATCTCTATCCTGGCAGTGAGCAATAACTACTTATCAGGTTTCTAGCCACAAGAAACGTGTGAGTTTCCAACCCCCCCCAGCTATTCCAAATGCCCTTAAATGCTATTTCATCCCCACACCTTACAAACTGAACATGCAGGAGGCAAGGTGAAGTACAAGAAAAACTTGTGAACTCTGTTCATGTTATAAATGGACCTCTACAGGTTGTTCTCTCAAAGACATTTAAATACTTTGCTTTAAAGACAAGGAAAACAAGTAACTCAGGTAACCCAACAGAATAGCATCATTAATGCTGTACCTGTCAAAAGAATGGGTACAGCTGCTGACCAGAGGGTCTGTCTGATATAAATGAGGATGATATAAATGAGGACAAAAGAATATACTTGAAGTCAGCAGCCACAATTCTCCCTGCAGAAGACAGGTGAGAGTCGAGGCAACATAAGGACAGACAAAAACTCTGAAGTCAAGCTTTATGTTTTCAGTTTTGCCAATAGTTTAAAGGAAAGTACACCCCTGCAGCTGCTTAAAGCTGAACTTCAATGCAAAGGTACTTGTTCACGGATCTAGAAAGTTCTTAGAAGAGAGGCTAAGGCATTTTTGCTATAGTCAGCTATGACAAGGATATTTTGTATCCTATATTCTAGCACCAACTATCATTATATATTCAGCCCTGATCTGAAAACTGAACAAGGACCATATTCATAAATTAGGATCAGCATCTAAAGTTGATGGAAGGTATAGTTAGCTTACATTGTAAGAGAACACATATTAAGATCATAATCATATATACTGATAGCAGGACTTACTAGAAATAAAACTGATAATTTGCTACGAAAGCCACACTAGACCTTGTGAAAACTAAAAATAAAATTGCACTTGGCAGCACTTAACCTAAAAAGGACAAAGTGCTCGCTATTGCTTCCTGAAGTGGCTGCTGCACGGGGGAAGGCAGGGGGGCAGGAGATTAAGGCATTTAGAACCGTTCTGATAAGATTACATTTGAAAAGCCAAAGGGAAATTAAGACAGTGCTGGCTTGATCCCATAGTTCAGAAAAGATTATTTAGCATCAGTTCAGCTCAGTACAATAAAGATGCAATGATCAAAACTTGAGACAGAAAAGTATACAACCAATTAATGGAATTGCTCGTTATCAGGCTGTAATTCTACTGGCTTAGCAGTAATGACTAGGTTTTAATAAACTTGCTTCATTTATTACATTAGGTGAATCAAGCTCAATGAAGAAAAGTAAGATCCCTGATGAAGGGGACAGAGCGATCAGATATAGCCTTCCTTCCAGTGCATGCAAAAAGCACTTATATTGATCATATTTTCATTTAAGAAAGCAGGTGTTTGCTCACTTAGAATAGCCAAGAACTTAATTCTTATTCTCCCCACACAATCAAATAATGAATCATGCAAATACAGTAACCTTTCAACACTATGACAGCCCAGCATTCCTCAAATATTCTGTTGATTCGGTAACAGTAGTATGTTTATTCACCTCCTCATATACATCAAGACAAAAGCCAGTTGGAACCTGCAGAAAATGTTATGATGCAGCGCGTGCTTCTCTGTAGTTGAATATACACTGCTCAGGACACATTTTGGAGGGTGGGTTTAACTGTCTTAAGGTGCATTATTCCACATGAGGATGTATTCCTAAATGAACGTCCTGATACTTGTTACTTATTATGCTTCAGCTCGTGTCATGGAATAGTATTGGGGCATATACAGTAACTCATTCAAACAAAAACAAGTCAGAATAGACACTCGAACTCAGAAAAGCCCTATGTTAATAACAGTAAGTTTTTTTCCTTATTTGACATTTTTTACAATTTTTTTACAACTATCTGTGAACTGAAGTACTTTGCTCATATACTTTGACCAGTTAAGTAAGAATAAGTTGCTCTTTTACTGTAGGTCATATCATAAGATAAAAGTGTATGTGGACAGTTATACATTCCCCCAATAACTGCCAGTACCAAAATGAAAAGTATTTGTAAGCATCACTACTTCTTTCACAGGTGAAAGAAATTAAGTAACATGACCATGCCAATATTGCACAGTAAGTTGGTTTTAAAGACCAAGTTTCTCACTTCTGACTACCAGCATTCTTATGAAAAAATTAAAATACTAACAGGGATGAGGAACTTCTTGATTTCTTCCAATGCATGTCCCATTCTGGCGTATGCTTCTGCCGGTGGAGCAAATACTTCAATTAAAACATGCAAGTCATCATTTAGGTGGAAGTACTTTGCTTCTCCACTTTTTCTCAACTCTTCCTCCTAGAAGATAAGAAAAAAAATTAAGTTTTTTCCCAGCTTCTTATTTTAAACATTGTAATTCAAGTGTTAGAGCTGCTTCAGAAGCATTTGCACATAGCATTTACTCACATTCAGATGTCAGTAACTAAAAAGTATAAAATTCTATACATTACTGATACACTTCAAACCAATGTTGCTAAAATATTAGAACAGTATCAGTTTGGTTAACAGTAAGTGGCTATTAACATAAAATAGGACCCACCAGCTTCTGCTCACATACAGAAACTGTAGCACAAGGGAATATTCCCAGTTTTTCCAAGTGGACCAGTTTAATGTAGAAGACACTGAGAAACAAGTGAACTTGAAGCCTCTTTTCTCAAAAGTAAGGTCTTTTACGAACAGGTTTGATCTAATATTCCACAAGAGCAAGATTCTTCTATCAATATTACTTCAATCTTAGTATTATTGCACTGCTTAGAAACATTTTCTGTTCTCACTTTCTACCCCATGAGTACATCCTTCACAGAACTGTGCTACTTGGATACAGAACTAACAGAGTATGAGAAGGGAAGATAACAAAGGAAAAAAGTTCACCAGCTATTTCAGACGACAGTTCATTTCTTTTATTCTGCTTCACCCAACCTGCTTCAACATGACTGAAAAACCATTACTTCAATGTAGTGGAACAGAGCTCAGTTCTCAAACACTTTTGCATGCACATCCAAAACGTTCACAGATCTAAGGACATCCTCTGTTAGTCTCAGATAGGCTCCCCCCTCAATGTGCATCTGTCAGGTGCATTCTAAGAGATCACTGAAAATTTCACTGTATTACCAGATAACATTATATCAAATTCTTAGTATTTCTTCTATGAAGAAAGCAAAGCCCTAAGAATTCTCTCGTGCTGCTTATTGTATTTAGCAAGCACCAGGTAAATACTTCATCCTTTGGACTACTAAAACAGAGTTTCAATGAGAGTTGAAACCTCCCATCATGAGCACCCCTTAGTTATGGATTGAGTTTTATAAGCGACAATCCATTTCTGCTTCTCAGATAACACTGTCATCATACTCTGTGTTTAACTATAGAGATGTTTAAAAAAAATCAACACAAACTAGTTAGCTATTAGAGCAGCCACAGCAAGAATATTAGGAGGCCAGAATCAGCAGGATTAGATTTTTGTCAGCAAAACGGTTATCTTGTCAATACAAATAACAGATCTTAGAGATAGAAAGTAAACTACAACATCACAGCTTAAATATTTAGTTGCAATAGGAATTGTTTCTCACTTTAGTTAAGCACAGTTATTCAAAACATACACGCTATCATCTAGCGCTGGAAGCTAGATGTTTTCAGTGGAGTTTCCCATATGCTTTATTTTTTTAGTATATACATGCCATCAAGCATGTCTTTTTAAAAACGGAAAAAATTCACTGTGCAGATACACGTGCAGAAAATTGAGAATTAAGAAAACTCATTTCTGTGGTTATCAGCTTGCCTGGTAAGAGCACAAGCAATAAAAACAGCACAACTTCATGTGCAGTGCTCGGTAACAAAGGATTCCAATCAGCAATTTTAACAAAACATACAAGATATTTCAGTGCAGGTTGTTCTAAAAATCAGTCCCATTAGCAAGCTTTTACTTTATCCTTTCTTCGTGCTCCACTTGCAAGGTGAATTGTTTTCAATTCTGTAACATGACTCAGCAACAAACTGTTCTCCACAGCCTTTAACAGCACACATGACAGAGCTCATCCCCTATGGCCTTTGTCTCCCAGCCTTGGGCACACATTGAACATTTCAGGCTCCTTTATTCCCTATGTGACCAACACAAAAGCCACAGCTTGCTCCCATTCCAGTACCCTTCACTGATAGAATTTTAGCTCCCACAAACCCCTCTGCCTTCCACTACTTGACAGATACCAGCCCTAGAACTCGACTGCTTTAAATCAGTAGTTGAGCAGCAGTATTTATCAAAATATATGCTCATAGTACTGTCCATTTTCATCTGTACTACACCACCTTTGATTTAGACTGTAAGTTTCAGGTACTACACAGTATTTCTTTTTAATGTTACAATAAATGAAATTTGGCTTCTGTCAGATATTAAATAGCATTCAAAATACTCAAGCTGAAAGGCTTGTACCAGTCTTGGTAACTATTGATAATACAGGAAATAACTAACTGGGGCAGAAGGCTTTATTTACTTTAACTATTATGTCTTCGGATTTGCTATGCAAAAGCAATGTTGTCATGCAATAAAGAAATTCTGAAACAGGTCCTTTCACTTTTTCACTTTCCCATAGACACATGAAAGCCTGAATAGTCAAGCAAAAGGTCTCTCTGCACTGAACAACAGCTCATGAGAAGCAAGTGATGAAGTGACAGCATGGCTTGAAAAAACACGCACATGGAAGAGAATTACTGAGTTGAGATGCTGCATATCACAAGCACATGTATGAAACAGTTCTCCAGATGTTGACAAAAAAGTGTTTATATAAACTCTAGACTGACTCTAGAACTCAAGTTTTCAATGAGTAAGGAACAAAGATACAGTGAAAACACTTTCCTGACTATGCTCTTTTTAAACCCACATCTTATTTAAATGAATTAAAATAAGCTGTTTTGTGGTGCAAATCTGGCTCCAGTGTAAGAATACTAATTTACATAAACTGAAATTTTTTAAATCTGTGATAATGTAATTCCAAAAATTTTGCTATCAAACAACAAAACCTCTAACCAAAGCACTGTTCCAAAATACAATTTTTCCCCCCTTCAAAAATTTTTCAATTACAGTTTATGCCTTTAAACATCGGCATCTTATATCACCTATGCACCTGTGAAAACAGGGTTTGCTCTGACTTCCTGATCACCAGGAGAATAATCGATCTTCCAGGAGATTTCATTTTCATCTGACCTTTAATTAAATCAAGAAGTAAATGAGAATTGAAAGAAAATCCCACATAACTGCAGCTATACTTTTTAGTCAATTCCTTTTGTCTTACAAGATGCAAAACAGTAGGCTAGAAACTTGTTGTTTGGTCAGACAGCCCAGTGGAAAATAGGGAGAAGCAATCATGCTTGAACAGTCATGACAGACAAGTAATGCCTGGAGTCACAGATGCAATGGAAAGGCAGTTTATCTCCCGTGTGTCTTTCTAGGCTGGCATGTCATCTTGCTTCACCATCTATCTTCTCTACAAGGCAGCAATGAAATTGCTTCCTTTGGCACCTGGATTACTGGCAAATAGAAAAAAATGTAATTTACTCTATTTACCTATTATTCTCCTACAGGAACATCTCCAGCTTCTCTCCATATGTGAAATACTGTATCAAACAGGGCAAGAGTGATGTACTTCATTGTTTATCAATACCACATGAAAATCTCAACTGGATGTTCAAAGTAACACAAAAACTGGTTGCACCTGAGTACTTGCCAGCCTTTCTGACCAGCAACTCACTGACACCAAGTAATTCAATCCTGAGGTTCTCTTCAGCATAAACCACTATTCCTTTTCGTACAGAAAAATCCTGCATAATTAAGGTTCTTTTGTTTATTAGTTCTCTGGACAAGTTTAATACAGTAGATCCAAAGTGCTAACCAAGAATGCATGAAGATCAATGCAAAAAGTTACCTGTTAGTGAAAGATACGGCTGAAAAAATTAGTATATAGATAATCTACATGAAACTCAAAAAAAAAGTCCAAAGTTCACTTCTTTGTTTAAACAAAAAATTATTTAATAAAACATTTTTTAAAAGGAATTAAAAGGAAGGGTTTGTTCTGCGTAACTTAAGAGCTAAGTAATTTATGGGCTCAAATCATGTTCGTAAAACTCTATAAGTCACATAACATTTGTGTTTTGCTGATGGAGAAATGTGCTGAAAAGTGCATCATTTAGGAAAATCAGTAGCCAGCCCTTCAAGACTCTTCCATATGCATGTCATTACGAGTCTTTATAGCACACAGTATTTTTAAATTTCAGATTATATAACCACAGAGGTTTCACTGAAGGCCAATAAAACATGGCTAGCCACAGGCATGAAAGATGTTCTGTGTTTTAATTTGATCATTAGGAATGCTCCACATAAAAACGCAACTTACCAGTCAGGTAACATCTCCTCACTGACACACACTTCTGCTACAAATTTAGCCAGATATTTACTTCAGTAAAGAGTGGAACTGATTAGGACAAACACCTATCAAGCTAGAGAGGGGTTTCACTTCTGCTGTCTACTTTGACTCTTTTAATGATACATCCACTATAACCAAATACATCCCACAAACAATTGCAATTTGTCAGTTCCTTAAGTGGCATAAGTCATCCTCAGAGCCGTGAAAATATTTTTCTGACTGTGTTTTATCTCCTTTCAGCAGTTGTTTTTAATCTTTGTCTAGAAATGTTATTAAATTTTAAGTGTTATGTTTTGAACTAAGGTTTTCCTTCAAAAGTGATAACCCTGCCATGTTCACTTGGCCATTACTCACTAGAAGCTGAACAAGACCAACCTAGAACAAATGCCCCACTTACGTGCCCAAGGACTGCAGTTTAGGGGGCCTAAGTACAACTCATAGTAGCCTCAAAATACACAGTGAGAACAGGCTCCTTAGAATCAGATGGGATCTGTTTTCTCTAACTAATATAAGGTTATCCTATGCTTTTTATTTGCTCTAAATTTTGGTGTGGGGTTTGTTCACCTCCTAAAAAAAACCTTCAGGAAGACTGAAATTCAGGTATCAAACATTCCACTAACATTCTCAGGTCTTACCTTTGTCTTGTCCCTCATAGAGCCTTTTCCCAAAATAGACATTTTGGTCAGTGTTTCTTCCTGCAAACGCTTTAGAGAATTGCCACGTGGACCCAAAAGTTTTCCCACAAAGTTGAACTGTAAGAAAACAAAAAAAATACATCAAACTCAGATTTTTAAGCAGAAGTAAAAATGGAATATTTGCTGATCAACCTTTTGCTCTTGCTGCAGACAAGTATTGGATCATAAATTAGAGTCACTAAGTACACCTGTGTAGGACAATTAACAGCATGCCAGTGGCTCCACCAGGTGCCAACAGAAACACAGAAGAACTCTAAGAACTTAAAGAGAAGTTTGTGTTTATCACTTTCAACACAGAGCAGATGTGCTCAAACTGCAATTCAATTTTCAGCAATGGTTACCAGGTACATAAAACCATAAAAAAAAAAGCTGGCAGTAATCTTGGATACAATACTAACCAACCAGAGCTGTGAAGAAAAGAAATACCTTAATTGCCTTACCCTCCCTTGAAGATTTATGAAGTAATACAACGACCCATACAATGTACTCCTAAACTAAAACACAAACAGGGAAATCCAGAGAACGTAAGCATATAAATCCAGTCCTAAACCAGAATCAACAGAAAATCTTCCCAATTACCACTCAATCCCCATTATCACTAAAGTTTACCTAAATCAGTTGCAGTTCATAACCATGGCATTACACCATTAATATGACTATGGAGAAGAAAGTGGTGAGCCCCAAAAATAAAGGAAGGCAAGGAAAATACAACATTTTCATTTCATTCATAGAAAACATCAAAACATACAGCTGGTGCTTTTTTCAGCCCAGAAGGTGCTTCAGAGGGAAAAGTAGGCTAAAGAGATAAAAGAGGTATCAAAACCCCATTCATAAAGGAAATCAAAAAGGGAGAATCTGCCTGTTTTCACTTCAAGGACAAAACTAGACTTAGTAGGAGTAGGTGTGAACTCATGAGCACTACCCCATAGGGCATATATTTCCAGTCACATACCAGGAGAAAAAGCTGTGTACATTCAGCTGTCTACTTCTGCACATCACTGCACTGTATTTTGGAAGGTACATACAATTTGAAGGATAGTTACAGAGAAGACATGAGGATTCACTTCGTAACTATTTTAATTGTGCAAAAAAAAAAACAACAAAAGAGCTGATAAACATAAGCTACACCTGGAAGTTGTTATGCAATGTTGTGAATGCTTCCTGGAAGTAACAGTTTACTCCTGTGTTGGATTTGTGTCAAGGTTTTGGCAGCAGTAGATTACAGGGGTCACTTCTGTGAGAAGATTCCAGAAGCTGCCCCCCATGTTGGATAGAGCCAGGTCTAAGACAGACCCACCACTGCCCAAAGGCTGGCCAATCAGTGACATAGCACCTATGTGATAACATATTTAAGAAAGGGCAAAGTTGAGAAGAGAGAAAAATGAGAAATAGCCCTGCAGACACCAGGGTCAGTGAAGGATGGGGAGGAAGTGCTCCTCCAGGCACCAGAGCAGAGACTCCCTTGCAGCCTGTTGAAAAGACCATGGTGATGCAGGCTGTAGCCCTGCAAGCCATGGAGGACCCCACACCAGAGCAGGTGGATATGCCCTGAAGGAAGCTGCAGCCCATGGAAAGACCATGCTGAAAGCAGGGTCATGGCAGAAGCTGTGGCCTGTAGAGAAGAGCCCAGAGGAGCCAGTTTTCTGGCAGGACCTGTAACCCCATGAGGGACCCAGACTGGAGCAGTCTATAACACAGGGTTCAGGAAGGGACCCACACTGGAGCAGGTCTTGAACTGCAGCCCATGGGAAGGGCCCAGATAGTAGCAGTTTGTGAACAACTGAATCCTTCAGGAGGAACCACAGGCTGGAGCAGCGGAAGGAACAGCAGAGACTAAGTGTTATGAGCTGACCACAACTGCCATTCCTTATCACCCTCTGACACTCGGGGGAAGAAGATGGAAGAGTAAGAGTCAGGAGTGAAGTTGATCCCAGAAAGAAGAAGAAAGTATGGGAAAGGTGGTTTTAGTTTTATTTCTCACTATCCTGTTACAATTAATTGGCAATAAATTAATCTTTCCCAAGTCAAGACTGTTTCGCCTGTGACTAAGTGGTGAGTGATCTCCCTGCCCTTATCTCAACCCACAAATCTTTCATCCTACTTTCTCCCCTCATCCTGTTGACAAGGCAGAGAGCTTGGTGGGCACCTGACAGTCAAAGGTCTACCCACCACAATTCCTGTCAAAATAATCCTGCAATAGAGATTACTTACCAAGCTACTGTTCAGTAATATTTATTATAGCTAGTGAAACCTCATAAAACCAGAATATTCACACTACTGCAATCTAAAATGAATCAATCATGTTAACAAAAAGTTTTAGGCACAAGTATAATACAGTGATGCTAAAGAGCAAAGAGGCTTAAACTATTTGTTTGTGGCCACCAATTTATGAAACAATTGAAGTTTTTTAACTGGCCCTTTCCCACTGTGCCATTAAAGGGCCAAGATGGGATTCTTTCATCTCCCTATTGTATCACAGAATCACAGCGTGGTTTGGGTTGGAAGTCTCCTTAAAGCTCCCCCAAGTCCAACCCCTCTGCCATGGGCAAGGACACCTCCCACCAGACCAGGTTGCCTGAAGCCCTGCCCAACCTGGCCTCAAACACTTCCAGGGAGGGGGCATCCACAACTTCCCTGGGCAACCTGTGCCAGTGTCTCACCACCCTTGCAGTAAAGAAATTCTTCCTTATATCTAGTCTAAATCCCTCTGGGGAGATTCTCCTCCTCCCCTATTCCTCTACACAAATGTGAAAACACTTGACAATGAGGTAGTAGCAGCTCAAAACCCTTTGTTACTACATTGGAAGTCCTGATGGAAAAAAGCCCAGCTGCAGTCACCGCACAATGCAGAAAGTCTACAGCTCCAGTTCACCTACTTTGCCTTTAGACAAAAAGAAACAAGCATTAAAAGCCTACTAAGTAAGAAAATAGTTTTATTCCCTTTAGTACTTAGAAGTTCAATTGCAATGTAGCCCTGAGTTAGACACAAGATCTGATTGAGCAAATTGCTTAGGATGACTATAGTCCAAAGAAGATATTAAATGTAAGGCCTTGCATGAACTAGTATTTTCTGAAATTAATCAGGCCAACTCTCAGTAAATCCTCAGACAATTTATTTAAGTTTGTTTTGCCCCCTCCCTGGAAGTGTCCAAGACCAGGTTGGATGGGGCTTTGAGCAACCTGGTCTGGTGGGAGGTGTCCCTGCTCACAGCAAGGGTTGGACTGGATGAGCTTTAAGGTCCCTTCTGACCCAAGTGATTCTATAATCCTATTAGGGATATATATTTTTTTTCTTATGGGTCCTAAGATGCGATCAAGGAAAACATTCCTCAAAAATACGTTGCTTAGCAAAATAGTAGAAGTTTCCCTTGCTGAGAATATTCAGGACTCGGGGCCACTGACAGTGCCCTGTGTAATCTAATTTACAGTTATGATTTCAACAGAAGGCTGGACCAGACATTCTCTAGAGGTCCCTTCCAACTTGGACTTCTGATTTTATTGTTTCTGGAAGTGTAAGCACAAGGAAAGCAAACAAATTGAAACAATCCATAACAAGTCTGAACTTCCAGAAGTCTGTAACTCCTTGTCAACATTAGCATTGAATAAAGGATGGTGACTTATGACCAGTGAGTTCACAGCTAAGCTCAAATGAAAGCTTTCATATAGAGGAATAACACATCAATTTTTCAAGCATTACTTAGGATTACTTATGTTTGCTTTAAAATAGCCTTGTAAGTTACTAGGAACAAAAATAAACACCGCATACATTTAGAATGAGAGATTTTCCATTTACAGTAAAGTATGCTGAAATTATTTCAGAATGTAGAGTACCTGCTGTCTGATGCAGTCTAAATTTCTAGACAATTTTAGTTAAAATATTCAGATTAAACTATTCAATTTTTGACTGTAATTTAGGAGTAGGCAAACACGGGTTTAACTATGCAATGCATAGCTCTGAATATTGCTTCCTAACTGGAAGAAACAACTACCTGACAATTAAAAATGCAAACTGCAAATCATAACAAATCAAAGTGCACACCTGCAACAAAAATGAAACCTACTTTGTATATCATCAAAGCAACTTGGCTTCAATGCTCAGAGAAGACTTGGGTGTTCCAAAGCTGTTTACTTCAGCTGTATTGTTCACTTTCATTAAAGCCAAATAGTTTAATATGTTGTGTATATCTAAAACTTGACCTACAGAACTTTAATACCACCAAAAGTTGCCACCTTCCCATAACTGAAAAATCTCTAGTGTTGAAGCTAGACATTATGGTAGCTATACAAGAAGCTGCACAGATGACATGTTCTTGACAACACATTTAATGAACATGAAAATGTATTAGCTGTATCCCGAGATCCACTGAACTATTCTTTCCTGTGCACTGAGTCTCCAAATATTAGATATGACAAGTCTGAAGCATGAGAAAGCTGTGCTACAAGTCTGAAATTCTGCTGACTTGAAAGCACAGTACCTCTAGATGTAGTTTCAAAACACAATAAACATTGAAGGTTACTTAAAAATGGCTTACAATGCAGTCCCAGAGCCTTTTTGCTGCCATGTTACAAAGCTAAAAAGCTCTGGAACATTTCAGTTGATTATTCCATAAATAAAACCCATTTATGATATTGAATGAATCCTTTCAGCAGAAAACAGACTATTTACTTTGAACAGGTACTGGATTTTGGTGAAACTACTGGTTTATCTCCCATTTATATCAAATTGGAAGCATCTGATTAGCAAAGGTATATTTTGAAATTTTTCATGGAGACATAAAAATACTCAAAAATATACCAGACACTTAAGTTACTAACATTATTGACACACTTTATCCACAGCAATCAGGGAGAATGACTCAAACCCAATGGTACAAAACTGCCACACAGTAAGGCAAGTTTAATTAAAAAATTAACAAATCCAACCTATCTGCTGGTAAAACAGAAGCAAATAAGCCTGGAAGATCAAAGTTAGCTCTTACACAAGACAGCTCATGTACAAAGATGTCTCACATTCCTATGGTGTAGTTGACCAAGAGCACAAAAACAAAAACCAAATT